CCCCCCCCCCGATATTTCCAGTACCCACCTGGCACCGTAAATAGTCGTTACAATATTATCGAATTCCCTGTGCTGCAATTTATATCCCTGTGACTGTTCAGTAACTACCAACTTGTACTTCTTAATCCCTTCACCTTTTCACCGAAGAGAAACTTTTATCTAGGAGAGGCTCAAAAAGTGACTGAAGGAACTTCCCAGCCATCTAAGAGAGGCTCAGCCTGTCTCAATTCTCCCCACCCTCACCTCTCCTCTCCTCTTGGTCCCTCCCAGCCACCGTGCTGTTCATCCCTGACGTATTGGTGTTCCCTAAGGTGCTGTCAGGGTCCCCTCTTCGCTGCTCCCTGGGTGAACTCACTTGCCCCGGGCAGTGAGCTGCCATTTATGCGACACTGCCTCACGTGTCTGGATGAGCATCCGCCTCCTGGGCATCTCCACCTGAGTGACCCAGCAGCATCTCAGCTGCTTGGGAGGCCCTCAGCTCCCTACAGTCTGGGTTCTCTTACTCTGTTCTCTAACTCAGTGGGTAGCAGCCGCTCGTCTCTAAAGTCAGAAATGGGGAGGGGAGTTATCCTAGACTCAGCCTTCTCCCCAAGTCCCACCTCCAGGTCGCTCACCTGGCTCTCCGTGTCTGTTCTCACTGCCCCTTCTCCATTCAGACCTTGCATTTCTTGCCTGGTTTCTGCAGAGCCTCCGGTGGGATCTCGCTGCCCTCAATCTTGTCACCTTCCTATCTATCCTCCTTGCTGCCTTTGAAATGCAAGTGCAACCGTGTCGCAGCTCCACTGGCCTCCCTCTCCCTGTCTCCGCTCCGCTGATATCATTTCTTACCATCACAGGCCTTGCCCCCTGTCCTCCGGAGCCTCGGGCATACACCAGGGTCTTTCTTTTGTATGGAATGTCATTGTCACTTCTCACTTTTGTCTTACCCTCTCCTCTTTAAGTCCTGGCACAATAAGCCCTCTTGCCAGAGCCCCTCTGCTACTACTTCTGGGCCCACCTGACATCCGTGGCCCCAGCCCTGCATTGCTGTCCCTCAGGTGATTTGCTTACTTCTGTCTCCCCTGCTCACCAGCATGGTCCTTAAGGACAAATACAGCACGTATCTGTCTGCTTACCTCTGTCTTCACCGGCTCTGGGCTCCAGGCTGGGAATGGAGTGGGAGGTTAGGAAATGCTTGGTGAATGAATAAGTGAACTAATTAATGAAAACGCACCTCTTCGCTGTCTCCTGTCATGACCTGTCTCTCCATCTCTGCCCTTTCTCCTCCAGGTTACATAGAAGATGATGACTTATCAGGTAGGTAGGGTGAGCCCCTGCTGCAGAAGAGCCTCAGTTCCCGGGAGGGAATGTTCTACAGAGGGTCACCGTACAGTGTTGATGGGTCTGTAGGAAGCAGGAATTCAGTGTCAAGGGCCTGCTTGCTTACTTTTTTTTTTTAATCCTTACCTGAAGACATTTTTTCCATTGCTTTTCAGAGAGATAGATAGAGAGAGACAAAGAGAGAGAGAGAGAAAAAGAGAGAGAGAGAGAAACATTGATGTGAGAGAGACACATCAATTGGTTACCTCCCGCGCGTGCCCTGACTAGGGCCAGGGATTGAACCTGCAACCGAGGTATGTGCTCTTGGCCGAAACTGAACCCCAGACCCTTCAGTCTGTGGGCCAGCGCTCAAACCACTGAGCCAAACTGGCCAGGACCAGGGCCTGCTTTCTAAAGGCTAGCCTGTGACTGCCAGGACACACAGACCTAACGGTGTGGAGGAAAGCACATCAGGGCCTCCCGTGGGAACGCAGAGCCTCTTTGGATTCAGCCCAGGCTGTACCCTGTCCGGCGTTTGCAGCCTTGTGCACGTTGCCCCAGGGGTATCTTGGTCTCGGCCATACTTATCTTCCTCTGTGTGGTCACTGTGTCTCCTTGGCATGTTTATTCCTAAAGCTTGTGGCAAACCCTGGTGGTCGGAGGATGTGAACATGGCCCGCCACTGGCCCTGGGAGGCGAGCCTCCGAGTGGAAAATGAGCACGTGTGTGGAGGGGTCCTCATTGACCACAGATGGGTGCTGACCGCCGCCCACTGCATCCAAGGGTAAGTGCGGCCCATGCGTCCGGGGCCTGGAGACCCGGGGCTGCAATAGGCCCGGCCCAGCTTCTTCGGTTCTGCTGTGAAGCCACGTGAGAGTGGGAAAGTAGTAGGAGTGGGAAGGGATGTCTCGAACAGGGGAGTCACGCTCAGGATCTCACAGGGGGCCAGGAGCCCCACGCAATGAAAACCAAATGCCACACAGTAGTAACGGACGAACTCAGTATGGACCTCCACCCCTCACACATCAAAACATACATGTAGACCAACTCCTACATACACAACACGTGGACCAGGCCACCGTGAATCAACCTGAATGGTGGATGGGGAGGCATTCACAGCTCTGACTCCGTCGGCCCCCAGGCTGGATTAGCAGGGCGTCTGCTGCGGGAGAGGGTCCTTGGCGGAGGTGGGAGCATTGTCAGCTTGGGACCCGGACGGACATCTACCAGGTGCGGCTCTGTGTCTCCTGTAGCACCAAAGAGTACTCAGTGACTCTCGGCACCTCTGAGCTGAAGCCCACGTACCCCAGGACGGACATCTCGATCCTTGTGAGGGACATCATTGTGCACCCCAAGTACTGGGGCCGGACCTTCACCATGGGCGATGTTGCCCTTCTCCGGCTTCACACTCCTGTCACCTTCAGCAAGCACATGCAGCCCATCTGCCTCCCGGAGTCCAGCTACAACCTGAAAATTGGGACGCAGTGCTGGGTGACCGGCTGGGGCCAGGCCAAGAAGCGCTTCTTAGGTGAGCAGGATGGGCTGGGGGTGGGGTGCGGTACCACAGAGGGTACAGTCAGTTCCTCCTGGGGTCTTGCCTGCTGGGCCCCCTATGGCGCCCCTCAGGAAGCTCGTGGCCTCCTCTGTGTGGTCACCGTTACCTCTGGCCCCTGGTCCTNCGGCTGGGGCCAGGCCAAGAAGCGCTTCTTAGGTGAGCAGGATGGGCTGGGGGTGGGGTGCGGTACCACAGAGGGTGCAGTCAGTTCCTCCTGGGGTCTTGCCTGCTGGGCCCCCTATGGCGCCCCTCAGGAAGCTCGTGGCCTCCTCTGTGTGGTCACCGTTACCTCTGGATGTGTTAGGCCTGCTCCTCACGTGGGAACCCCTGTCCATCGCTGTGGGCCTTCCTCCAGGCCAAGCCATGCCGGGGCAGGGCACGATCACTCGCCTCACAGAAGCTCCGAGTCAGGGAGTCACAAATTTGCTCACTCACTCATCTGTTCACTTGACAGACTTCAAGCATCTGCCACAAGCGAGCATCTGCCAGCGTGTACCCCGGGCATTGGGAACACGCGCCCCGCCTGCAGGGAGCTCATCCCCGAGTGTGGAGGGGGTGTGGCCTCACTGGGAAAGACTTGCCAGGGGTGTGGGATGAGCTCTGTGAAGGGACGGGGCTTGGGCAACTCTCCGGGATGGAGGTGACAAGACACTGGGGAAAGGCCAGGGCGAGTGGAGTGAGGGGTTAGTTCCCAACCCCCTGGGCTTCCCCACAGCCAACGCCACGCTGACGCCGCAGCTGCAGGAGGCCGAGGTGTTTGTCATGGACAACCAGAGGTGTGACCAGATTTACCGAAAGAGGTCCCGCATCCCCCGCGTCCTCCCCCTCGTCACGAGGGACATGATCTGTGCCACCAATTATGGAGAAAACTTGTGCCCTGTGAGTTTCGGGGAGGTTCTGGGAGCTCTCCATTTGTTGGGAACAACTCCCAGGTGGGGGGAAGTTCACCGGGGAGGGGTTTGCTTGGCCTCCCACCTCGTCACCATTACCAGGCAGTGCTCTGCACCCATCCTTCTTCCCCTGTGACTTCGATTTTGCCTAATATTCTGGGACAGGGTCCCAAACTATGGAGCAGAAGGAGGTCCCCAGGTAGTGAGACCCTGAAAGGGTAAAAGGATCTTCCAAGCGGAACTCAGGGTGGGCATTCTGGGTCCTCTGGATTCCCTGGGTCCCATCTGGGCCCAGAGCCTCTGTCATGCCTCTCTTTGCCTAGGGGGATTCCGGGAGCCCACTGGCTTGCGAAGTCGAGGACAGATGGATCCTGGCTGGGGTGTTGTCCTGGGAGAAGGCCTGTGCCAAAGCACGGGATCCAGGTGTGTACACACGCGTCACCAAATACAGCAAGTGGATCAAGAGTCAAATGAGCAGCCGGGCTCTCTCAGGCCCCTGCACCTCCACGCTGCTCCTTCTCCTGTCCTGGCTGCTGCAGCCCCAGCTGGGCCCCTGATCGGCCCCCTCCCTCCTTCCTGCTTTGCTTCTGCTGAATGGGGCCAGGTCAAGGTTAGATCAAGGTCATGCATCCGTGTTCAACCAGAGTCAAGGTGGGGACAGAGTGGCCCCTGGGAGACCTGGTCCTGCTTTGGCATCCCAGTAGGGAGGGATGCGGTGGATGACTAGGCCTTCGGTGACCAGGAGAAGGGAGATGTGGCCTAGAAGGGCTCTGGAATTGGGGCCCAGAACAGCAGCGATTAAATTTGTGCAAACATGAGCTGGTTCTGTTCTCTTTTCTGGGTGGCCCTGGATGTTGGGGGTGGGAAAGCAGGGTCTCCCGGGGTTAATTCTACCAGGTGGTTTCCCGTGTGGGGACTGATGGTTTTTGCTATATCACTGGTGCTAGGGCATAGGGAAAGGGCTTGAGGCCCCAGTCTCCTCCTCTGTGAAGTGGGCGTGCTGGGAGGGAGCCGTTGGAACACTCCCTGTAGGCTGACAGTAGGAAGGACCTACAGCGCTCCAGATCTGCTTTTAGTTTTTCTAATGGTATTTAAAAATAGGGATTACGAAGTATTACATGTTCATGGCTACATTTTTTCTTCACATTAAAAAAAATTATAAGCAATATCTGAATACGACCCTGTGAAAAAAATCAGAAATACATGTAAAGACTTCCCCCTCTCATCCATCCCACCACAGTACTGCTCCCTTAACCAGAAGTAATCATCAATAGCATCCCTAAATAATGTATCTTTATGATTGTAAATAAATGATTTAAAATATATTATTCATAACTACATTTTAAAAAAATTAGATGCCTCGAAAGCCCATGTCAGTACCTAGAGCGTACTTTTACATCACGCCTGTGTCTGTGCCATGTACTGGAGGCTATTTAACCTTGGCCCATTTTTTAGGCTGTTTCTGATTTGTCAGCATTGCGACAGTCCTGAACACCCTCCTGCATGCACAGGGTGGGGTGGAGTGGGGACAGTCAAAGGAAACACAAATTTAATCATTTTGGATGAATATTATCAAATTCACCCCTCCTCCAAATTTTACTAGTTCACATTCACGCCTGAAGTATTCTAGAACGAGTTTCCCCTTTTGCTGAATGTGGACATCATTAATCTTTAAAACTGTCCATCCAGTGGTAGAAAGTTATAGCATTGCTATTCTGTGTTTTCTTGATCAGAAAAGTGTTTTCTCATGTGTTTATTGAAAAACACATGTATACCTTTTCTCTAGTAAATTCTCTGTTCAATACTGTCGACAATAAGATATAAAAATAAAAGTCCTCTATTCACGTACTTTACCTATTTTGAAAATTGGGTGACTTATCTTTTCTGATGGAAGATCTTCATCTTTTCTGAGTATTAATTTAAGCCTTTGTAAGTTTTACAAATATTTTCTCCAGTGAGCCACTTGTCTTTAGAAATATGTGGAATGAATGGGTAATGTTTCCATAAAGACTTAAAAATTGTAACAGAGTCAAATCAGCCTTTACTTCCTTTATGAGTTTTGTGTGTTCCTTAACATGGCCTTCTCCATCCCCACATGACAAAAGCTGTCTTTCTGTATCTCTCTTAATATTTTGATAACTTTATAGTTTGAGTAACTGTATAATCTGTCTGAAATTTCTGTGTATGTATGGTGTGAGGTGGGGATCTGTTTCCAACTGGAGGACCAGCTCCATTGAGACTGGTTTTGGTGGGGTCCACCCTTTGCCTGCTGATTTGAATGTCCATATTTAATGAACTCTCAATATACTCGTGGGCATGTTTTTTGAAATCTTTATTATTTGTCCACTGTTCTGTTTGTCCCTGGGTTAGTGCTGTACTGTTTCAATCAGCTTTATGTTATGTTTTGTTAAATGGTAGCAAAAACTGTTCTCTTCCTTAAAAAAAAAATATTGCCTAAATCCAGATTTTCGTCTATTTCTTAGATGTTTTCAAAAAACCATCTGGTGTACTTTTGTTGGTTAGCTTTTTGGTATCCATCCTTCCCACCTATTACCCCAGGTCCTGGTCAGCATCCCACGCCCTCTGCTATGCTGCTCAGGGGGCAGCTGTCACATTCCCAACTCCCAGGAGGGGTGGCTCATAGGCTTCCTGTAGTTAGCAAGGTCCAGTACCCCAGCCGCCTGGGGTACTGGTGGATTGTCCCAGTCAGCATCGGGCATGGTTAGAGGACACACACACACTCTCTCTCTCTGAATGTAGAGTAGGAGGCGGAAAGATGTGGACTGTTGACAAACATTTTTCAACATGGGGACTGACTCAGAATGAGGCCACCACTGAAGAGAGGAGACAAATATTTTAAGCCTGTTTGAGTGGGAGTTTCCCTTACTCAGGAACTCCTGAATGGTACAGACTAACTTTCGGTTTTAGTATAATCAAATCTGCTTCTATTTGTTCATTTTATTTTATTAAAGCTCATTTAGATTTAGTAATTCCAGCCTTTTACTTTTGAGGGATTGGTTTTACTCTTTTTTTAACTTCTTGAGCATGATCAATTCATTATTAGAGACTTCTTTGGTTTCTAATATTTTCACTTAATTTCATAAAATTTCCTCTGAGTCTTACTTTGGCTATATTTCATAGGATTTGATATGTACTGACTTTGTAGTAATTCATTTATATATAAGTATTTTTTAAAATATTTTTTATTAATTTTAGAGAGAAAAAGGGAGAGAGAGAAACATCAATGATGAGAGTCATTGATCGGCTGCCTCCTGCACGCCCCCTACTGGGGATCAAGCCTGCAACCCGGGCATGTGCCCTGTCTGGGAATTGAACAGTGACCTCCTGGTTCATGGGTCGATGCTCAACCACTGAGCCACACCGGCCAGGCCATTTTTATATTTTTAATTTCATACTATATTTCTTATTTAACCCAAGAGTTAAATAGAAGGGTGCTATTTAATTTCCTGATGGATAATTTGGAGGAAGGGTAGAAGCTTCTTCTTTTTCTCTATTAAAAATTACATCACAATATGGACTTAATTATTTCTGCCTTTCAGAATTGATTGAGGTTTTATTTGTGCCCAGTAATTGGTCGTTTTTAGTGACTGTTTCATGTGCATTTGAAACGGAAGTGTCGTGTGTTTTGAAAGGGAGCTCTAGCTGTAAACGGGTTGGATCAGGCGTGTCGATTGTATTATTGAAATCCTCTTGACACTTCCAATATTTTATGTCTGTATAATCCTCTGATTTCGGAGAGATTTATCACAGGAATTAAGACTGTCTTCTTGCAGTTATAATAATTCTTGCTTTGTTTCAAAGCTGTTCTGTTAGGAGTGCAAGGTTCATGCTTCCTGTACCATCTGGGTGGGGTGTATGCCCTATCAATATGAAATATGCCTTCGTCCTATTTAATATTTGTTTTTTCAAAGACCTGGCTTATATCATAGAGTTCATTTCTAATTCTGCTGTTCTAATCAATTAGGATATAATTCTATATTTTGTACATGTTTCCTACAGATTTTCCTTGGGCTTATTTTGTACCTTTTATAGTTTCTTGATTTGAGCATTTAATTAGTTTATTTTTATTTTTGAAAATAAATTTAAGGTTATGTATTTGCCTTGAACATACTCAGTACGTTTTTTTATTCATTACTTTAATTATTAGTATTTTCTAATAATTTCTAATAGTTTTTAGAATGTCTTTATTTCCTCAGATAAGTTAAGAAAGTTTATTTTAAAATTTTCAAATAATTTGGTTTATTCTGCTTCCTATTTTGTTACTGAATCCTTGCTTTGTTGCATCATGGTAAAAAGTGTGAGCTGGGCTAGTTCAACATTTAGGGAAGTTACTGTGGTTTCTTTGGTTGTTGAGTGTGCGGCTGATTTTTATAGAGAGTTCATTCCCCAAAGACTCAGAGTCGGTTGAAGACTCTCCCGCTCTAAGTGCGGATTTTCAGCATCTCGTGTAGCGCTGGTTGATTCTGTTTTACATGTTCGATGCCATGTTATTGATGAACAGAACTTTATGATGCTATATAGCCATTGTAACTTTAATCTTTTTCCAACATAAAATAACTTTCTTTTTCTGGTTAAAGCTTTAGTCCTGAGTCACATTTTTAGAGATTAACATTGCCACTTCTATTTTCACTTCCGTAGACTTAATAATTTTTGCCTGGCTTTTTATTTTCAACTGCTTCATGTCACTTTGTTTTAGGTGGGTCTTTAATAAGTAGCATGCGAGTAGATTTTTTTCTGCCTGATTTAAGAATCTTTGACTTTCGCCCAGCTGGTGTGGCTCAGTGGACTGAACATTGTCCCAGGCACCCAGAGGTCACTGGTTCAATTCCCGGTCAGGGCACCTGCCCGGGTTGTGGGCTTGAGCCTCAGTAGGGGGCGTGCAGGAGGCAGCTGATTAATGTTTCTCTGTCATCAGTGTTTCCATCTCTCTCTCCCTCTGCCTCCCTCTCTCTCTAAAAAATCAATAAAAACATTAAACAAAAAAAGCTTTGACTTTTAGAATTCTTTTGTATTCACCTTGGTGGTGATAGTGGATATGCATCTTCATTCAATTATCTTGTATTGTTTTATCGATTGTTCCCCCAACGTATTTCCCTCTCCCCCTTGTCCTCCCCCCACTTCCTCCCAGAGGAAATCTGATTGTAGGGATAATCATTTCCTCGATTCTCTACCATGTATCCCTAAAAGTAGCTTGTTTTGCCTGTCTTTGAATTTCATATAATATGCACCTTTTTGTGTCTGGCTTCTTTCACTGGAAGATATGTTTCTGAGACTCCCCGTGTCACTGCCTGCCCATGTGGCTGTGGAGGACTCGGCCTCCCTCCCGCCCTTGGTGGCCGTCGTGTGTTGCTCCGCTCGGGCTCTGCCCGGCAGCGCTGCCGTGTCCCCTGCTGCGCACTGCTGGCCGTTGCCGGGTGGCACAGCCAGGAGCCGAGCTGCAGGCTGGGGGGTGGGCACATCCTCTGCTCCCCTAAGTGATTCTGAAGCTCTCCACAGTGGTGGCCCCAGTCCATCTCCCCAGCAGTGCGTGAACTACCTTGTTACCCCAAGTCCTCGACAGCACTGGCAACGCGGTGGGGCAGGAGTCAGCTGTCCTCGTGGACAGTGTGAGGAGCATGGGATCCTTGGGAGGGATCCTCAGTGGAGCGAGGTGGAGGGGCCCCAAGATGTAATTTATTCTTCAGATTTATGAAGACCTGGGCCTGCATCTGCTTCCTCTCAGGAAACCACCTTCCCAGGCCCAGAACACCCAGCCTCCCTCTGCTCCGGGAGCTCTCTGGAAAATGCAAAACCTGTGGAGAGAAGGGAAACTAGTTCCAGCTCAGTCCCCCACAACAGCCATCCCTTTCTCTGTGCCTCAGTTTCCTTACTTCCAGGAGGACCATCAGAAGGGCCTCATAGAGAAGCTTGGATTGGGCATTAGGGATGCCTCACAGGCCAGACACCTGTTGCTGTCGCAGGCTTGGGATTGGGCACATAGAGATACCTCCAAGGCCCAGGCTGAGCCCAGGAGGCACTGTCATGGGCCAGATGCCAGGTGCTGTCCCAGGCTCAGGGTCAGGCCCAGGAGCACCATCTAGGGAGGTGCTTGGCAGCAGTGTCAGGTGGTGCCCTGGTGGGGCCTCACCATGACCACACTGTCCCTTTTCTGCTAGCACCCTAATGCTGTCCCAGCTGGGCGAGCCTGCAACCCTGGGGCAGAGGCCCACTCCTGGTTACCCTAAATAAACAAACCACGAGTTCTAGAACTCCTGCATGTTGGAGATACCCTGCCCCTACATTCCATGCTGAGGACCAGCGGCGCTGGGCACCGGCTTGCCATGGCATGTGAGCCAGATCTGGGCGTCACATCTCCATTGGCTTTTGGCAGACTCGGGAACCCACTCTATGTGGAAGGTAGGGCTTTGGGACATGGGACAGGGACAAGAAGGGTCTGTTCACCTGGGTGTCAGTGTCAGTTGTCCTCACACCTGATGGATACATCTTCACCAGACTGCGTGGTGCGCCAAGCCTGGAGACCCAGGCAATGTTGAGGCAGTTCCAGTTTGCAGGGTGACATGAACATGAGGGAAGAGCTTTATTAAAAGCTGGGGGACAAGCTAACTTCCATGGGAAAGATGAGCTTGTTTGGGAGGCACACTCTAGACCCAGGACTTGTGATGACAATGACATGAGATGACTGCTCATGCTACATAAGGCACTGTTCAGATGCTGACGTCCGCACCCTGGGAGGTGTGTTTTGCCAGCATCTCCATCTCACCATCGGAGACCAAGGCCCAGAGAGCTTAAGTGACCCGTGGAGCCAGCATCCAATACCAGTTTTCAGTAGACTCTTTGGGAGTGGAAAGTATGGGGCCCCACTTGGCAGAAGGTCTCTGGGCACACACCCGAACCGACCATGGGTATTCCTGTGGGGCAGCCCTGGCTTGGGTCACCTGCCAGCTGCCCATGTGGCAGTGGCTGCTTGGGACAGCCTCCATACCTGCTGTGAACAGGGGTCTGAGGGCTGCCTTTGCCACCTGAGCGTCTGCACGGGGCTGGCATGGCCCCTTCTCTCTCTCTTTCCTCAGAGCCCTTTTACTGGGGCTGTGGTCAGACCAACATGTCCTGCAAGGTGGTGAAGGGGAAGCTGGTGGAGGTAGGCAAGTGGCCGTGGCAGGTGAGCATCCTGTTCCTGGGCATGTACGTCTGCAGCGGCTCCCTCATCCACCACCGGTGGATCCTCACGGCTGCGCACTGCTTAGAGAGGTCAGTCAGGGTGGCAGCTGGTCCCCAGGGGGACCCTGGTGAACCTGGGGTTCTGGGAGTAGCGGCCTTACTGCTGGTGATCAGCCTCCTACCCATGGCCCTGCAGGTCCCTGAATCCCGACCAATACTCTGTGATGGTGGGAGTCCAGCACCTCCCAGAAAAGGGCACTCATCTCCCGCTTGCTCACATTGTGATTCATGAGAATTTCAAGAACCTCATAGCCAACGACATTGCCCTCTTGAAGCTCAAGGACCCCGTCCTCTGGTCCCCCCTTGTCCAGCCTATTTGCCTACCTACCACCAATCTCAGGCCATCTGTTGGAACCTCGTGCTGGGCGATCGTGTGGGGACGTACAGACACAAAAGGTGAGTGGAGGCAGGCAGAGTTTCCAAAACACTTGCCTCTTCAGAACACAACTTTGCCATGGGCTCATTCATTCATTCCTTCATTCACTCATTCACTCCATCATCAAACATTTCCTGAACACCTAATGCGCTGCACACTCTCCTGACCTCTGTTGGTAGGTAGGTATACACAGTGCTCTAGTGTAGAAGACATTCGTGGCTTGCATGGACAAAATGCCTAGCCATCCCCTTGCAGCATGGTAGGAAATTAATCTTTGACTATTAGTGGGCTTCCCTGTCTGGAAGTGGCACAAGTGCCATGTCTAGGAGGTACTGAGGCATTGGGCAGCCGAATACCTGTTACCTCGAGATACCAATAATTTCTGGAGGTCTGCTCCTGTTGGTGTCACTCAGGGGTTCTAGGATCTAAGAGCCTTTGTGGGGTCCTGACTCCCAGAAGATGCTACACTCTGGGCTCTAGGGTCTTGCCACCTTGCCAGGTAGCCACGGGACAGTGCTCAGCCCTTCACCCTCATGGACCCTGAATTACTGGAGTAATTCCTCATTTAGTGCCTGGATGTCACTCTAAGCCCCTTGTGAAACTTTTGTTTAGCCTTTTTAATAAGCTTGGGCTTTTTCAAAAGTCAGGCTATGGACTGGGCCTTTAAAAATCACCACCCCAGGAAATGGCCCTGCCCCCCACATCTGGGAATGAGGATAATCCCAAGATAAAGTTGTGCCAAATTGTTGAAGGGATGCTGAGGCAAGATCTCTCTCTTTAGTGACCCCAAAGCCCCCCTATAGTCTTCAAGAGGTGTCTGTCAAGATAATAAAACATCAGATCTGCGATCGGCAGTACCAGTTCCTCTTCTTGAAGGGCCAGAAGAAGTTTATCGGGAAAGAAATGCTGTGTGCCAGCTCAGAGTGGGGCGCAGACTCTTGTCAGGTGCGGAGTGTGTGGCCCAGGGCAGGGAGGGGGCTTTTGGGGACATGCCTTCCTTTTTACATGAGACCTTATACAAGTTCTCCCTTCTCAGGACTTCAGCTTCCCAGTCTGTAAAACCAGGGTGAAAATATTCTGCTCCTGTCCACAATGCTGGTCTTAGTGGCAATACTTCCAAGGTCACTTGAGTGTGTTTGAACATCAATCAGTTGTGCCTGGATCTGAGCCAGGTGCTGGCGAAACCAGTTTTGCATAAATGGCCTCATTCTGTAAACATGCTTCTGCTTCTTGCATCTTTCGTTCAACTTCGTTCTTGAGATACGTGCCATAGTGATATGTGCAGCTCTAATTCATCGATCAGCTCTATCTACAATATTCACTTTGGTGAATATGCCACAGTTTATCCATTCTACTACACTGAGGTAGTTTCCAATTTTTTTCATATCACAAAGTCTGCTCCTCTGAATATTCTTACACACATCTCTCTATTGACATGTTTCAGAATTTCTCCATGGGCTGTGGCCTGCAAAGAATTGGTGAGTCAAAGGCTGTGAAAACCTTCATCTAGAATAGTCATTGCCAAATTGTTCTCCAAAGTGATTGTATTAGTCTATACTCTTACAGCAGTGTTTGAGAATTCCGTTGTTCCATATCCTTGCCAACTTTTGGTATTGTCAGACTGTGAAATGTTTTCCATTCTGATGGATGAGAGATAGTATCCCATTGTGGTTGCAATGTGCATGGCCCCAATTACCAGTACAGTTGTGTGTCTTTTCATGTTTCACCATTTGTGGTGGTTCTCCTATGAATCTCTTATTCAGATATTTTGCACATTTTTCTGTTGTTTGCCTTTTTTTTCTATTCTGTGTTCATTGTGTGTGTTGAAAACACCTTCTTCCAGTTTTTGATTTATCTTTTCATTTTATCTTGTCCTTTGCTAAACAGCAATTTAGATTTTATATTAGTCAAACATATATCCATGCTTTCCTTTCAGACTTATGCTTTTTGTGTCTTATTTAAGAAATCCTTCCTTTTCTCAGGGTCATAAAGACATTTTCCTATATTTTTTGCCTAAAAGTTTTGAAATTTTGGTTTTCACATTTAGGTCTTGAATTCACAAGCATTCATTTTGTGCTGGTGTAAGAGAGGTTTCTGTCTTTACTTATTTCCCTGTATGGACTACCAGTTGTCCCAAAGCCATTCAATGAAAAAAACGTTTTCTGTACTGACTGTCACCCCTTCTCTCATAAATCAAATGTTTATATATACATAGGCCAACTTCATGAGTTGGACACCTAGAGAATTTATTTTTGGTCTTTTTTTCTTTTCTAGTACAAGTATTTGATACTACAAATTTTCCTCTAAACACTGCTTTAAAAAAGAAATAGAAAATAATGAAATAAACATTAAAAAGTTTAACTACATACCAGGCCACCAAACAAGTCTTAACACATTCCATATAACTGATATCACTGTAGAACTAATTCTGTGACTACAGAGAAACTGAGTTGGAAGTTAATTACAAAAGCAAACAAGCAAGCACACATTTGGAAATGTAAAAAACCCCACACACCTCTGGCTCAGGTTTTTTGAACCACCCAGACCATGTGAATTCAAGTTGCAAGTTCACATAAGGGCTGGTGTTCCCAGCTGATTCTCTTGAGAGACCTCACTTGGAAGATGTGGTCCTTTTGTGAAGGTGTAGCCTTTTGCTAGAGGTTTCCTCTTAGGCTCCCCTCCTTGAGCAGCCAGGATTTTGCCTTTTATCTCCTGCACCCATGAACAAGGCTGTGAAAACCAAAGCTCAGTGTCACTGGGTTTGGGAAATGGCCTTGGAGCAAAAGTCATCTTTTGGGCTTTGCTGACAAAGCTCTTGGTTCCAGCCCTCTTCTGAGTTTTGGACTCTGGGGAGTCTATTTTCTTGCCAGCTCGCTATGCATTTAAAGTGACAATTTGAAAAAATCTCGTGTATTTAGTTATCTTCAGCAAGGTTGGGTAGGTTAGCAAGCCTTTCATACTGTTGGAAGCCAAATGCTGAGAATTGATATTATTACCTTGTTTTAAGTTGACTCATCCAAGAACAGTGATATCTTTGTCCATTCCTATAGGTCTTCTTTTATGCTTTTAGGTATAGTTTTATTATTTTTCCTTAAGTGTTTATGCACTCTTCATTAGTTTATATCCTGCAAATCTTGGTTTGCATTATCTTACAAAAATCTATATCATTTATATCTATATCTATATAGAGAGAACCATTTTTCTGGTTTTTCTAATTTACAAAACTTAATGGTACAGAAGAGTGTAAAAGTTTTTGGAAGATCATAAACCCACCATGAGCAGAAATAACAGAGGTCACCTTTTGATTGATCTGTGCTGTTGTAAACATTATTCTTATACATGCTTTGCACAAAAAAGAGTAGGGGTTGGTTTGCATTTCCAATAGCTCACTCTGCAAGCAGGATTGCAGGAAAGGGAAAGGTCAAGGGCACCACCTTGGAGGCCTACCAGGAGTTAAGGAGAGGAGAGAGGGAGGAGGCCAGGGAGTTGTGGTCAGAGTAAGCAGGAGAATGAAGGGCGAGGCTAGCGTGGTCCCGACCTTGGGCCCCAGTGCGGGTTGTATCATCAGGAACAGCAGAGGCCTAGCCCAGCCCAGGCTAAGGCTATGGCCTAGGCAGGGGCAAGTTCATCCAGGGCCTCCTGCTGAGACCGTCCCGCTGCCTCCCTTATGGCTCTCTTCTTCCCCTCCTCAGATGAACTCCGGCAGCCCTATGGTCTGCCAAGTGAACAAGACCTGGGTTCAGATGGGGGTGGAGAGCTGGAGCTTCAGCTGCAAGCAGCACCACTACCCGAATATCTACACCAGCACCTCTCTCTTCACCCAGTGGATCCGGAAGCAGATCGGGGACGTGAAGTTCATCAGCAGGGCCCACTCCGCCTTCCTGAGCCCCGTCTTCCACACCGGCTACATTCTGCTGGTCTCCCTGGGCTCCCTGTGGCTCCTTTGAGCGGTGTTTCCAGGGTGGTCATTCCCAGAGGCAGGCGCTTCTTCCTCCCCTCGGCCGCCCTCAGGGGAGTTGGAGACTGGAGGAGTGCAGGACCCGCGGGCAGAGTGCCCTCGGGGGAGGGCCCAGAGCCACTGGTTTTTCAGTTCAATAAATATACTTTTGCACTTTTTTTTTTGACCCTCACCCTACGATATTTTTTTCATTCATTTTCAGAGAGAGTGGAAGGGAGGGAGAGAGAGAGAGAAACATCGATGTGAGATTCAGGCATCGATTGGTTGCCTCACGCAAGCACCTCAGGCCTGGGGATAAAGCCTGCAACCCTTAGGCTCACAGGCTGACGCCCTGACCACTGAGCCAAACCGGCCAGGGCTGCTTTTGCACTTTTGGCCACAGAAGTCATCACCTTTGTTGCAGACTCTGGCTGGAACCCTTCAGAGATGGCCCCACATCAGGTCCCCATGACCCTCACCTGGGTCTCTGACCAGCTGTTTCCCTCAGGCCTTTCTGCGAGGGCTGGCCTCTTCCTGAGACACAAAGACCAGACCTGCACTGTGGACCTTGTTCCAGAAACTGAGCCTCTCCCAACCCTGCATGTCCCCCTGAGGGTCTCCAGAATCTGCCCAGTTTCTCTTCTCTGCCCGACAAGGGTGGGTGATGATGGCAGAGGGGGAGGGCAAGGCAGAATGCTGCATGGGGGGCCCGTGCGAGGCGACTGCACCCTGAGCTCCCGAGCTGCCTCAGTGACCTCCATCAGACTCTGGAGAGCAAGGACAGGCTGGCCCGAGCTGGCCAGAGTCCTGCCCGAGTGTGGAGGGAGAGCAGGGGTCCCTCAGACCGGATGGGGTGCAGGTTCAGAGTGCACGGCTACCCTTGGCGTGTAGGGCCCCAGAGAGGTAGTGGGGTGCCTTGCTGTCTTCCCAGAGACTGGAGCCCTGAATGGCCAGCCTGAGGGCCTGTCCCAGCACAGCAGGCCCTGGCAAAAGTTCGAACGTCCTGGTTTGATTTAACTTGGATCTTCTCTTTTAGTAGGCTAGAATTTTCCAATAGCTTTGAACCAAAGCTTCTCATAGACTTCCCCTCCACGGCTTTCTAACTGTATTATCCATCTCTGTCACTGAGCCATCAAAACGTTCCCCAGAGTCCAGCCTACGAAGTGGCCCTCTGCTCCCAGGAGGGCCTGCTGGTCACCATCCCTCTCTGTGGCGGGAACCTCACCTGTGCGTTTTCCTAAGTCAGGGGAGGGCGGAGCGCCGTTTAAAATTAGGCAACCTTTAACAGTCCTTCCAGAACACGTTCCCATCTGCGTCATTTCAGCAACCTGGGGCAGGGCCCCACTGCAGTGACCAGGCTGGAGGGGAGGGGGACCCCTTGGAAATCCTGGACGGCAGCCCCAGGGGTGGGGCCGTCTCACCAGGGGAGGAGCGAAGGCAAGAAGCCAGCCCCGGGCAGGAGGCACAGGGGCCGAGGGGTACAGGAGCCGGCGAGGTTAGCTGAGGGGCTCCAGGAAACTATTGAGCCCAGCGGAGTGGGGAGACCAGGGTGGCAGAGGCGCGACCAGAACCGGGGCGGTTCGCCACACGCCCGTCCGGCAGGTATGAGGGAGGCCAGTCACTAGGGGGCGCCCTCGCGGGAGGAACACTAGGAGCACCGTTGCGGGCGGCCGCTGGGGGCGCCATGTAAGCCGGGAGCAGGGACGCCCGCACCCACCACACCCCACAAGCAGTCGCGGGCGGCCAGTGGGGGGCGCCGTCGCCACAGGAGCTCCCCTGAGCAGTTGCTGCTACCGGGCGATGGAGCCCTGGCGCAAGACACCCGCCCCCTCCCGGGTCCAGGCTGGTCTGCTGCTGCTGCTGCTGGTGCTGGGGCCTGCGGGTGAGCGCACCCCCCACCCCCGCCCGCCCCAGGGCCTTACCTGCCACCTCTGACCCTCTCCGCATCCTTCCACAGGTTGCTTGGGCGCAGGCGAAGCCCTGGGGGCGCTGTCCACGGCTGCTACCCCCAACCCTGGCACCCCCTGCGTCCCTGGTGCCACCTGTCCCACAGGGGAGCCTCTCCTCCTCTCGCAGGCCCCAAACACAGCAGCGCTCTCCGGGGGCCCTGCTTCTCAAGCCGGCACTGACCTACCTCCCAGTGAGTACCCTGGGCTCCGGGCGCGAGGAAGGTGTTGGAGGAGCCTGCAGGACCTTTGATCCCTGGGGACAGAAGGGACCGAGGAGGACAGGGCAGGGAGCAGTGAGAAGAGACCAGCTTGCCTTTATTGAGCACCTATGATGGGCCAGGCCTCCCATCCTGGTGAGGTAGAAGGCGCAGGAAGTGGGAGAAGCCTGCCCTCCAAGGCCCACTCTGTTGGCTCCTGCCCCTGGCTTGCAGCCAGGGACTGCGGGGACCTCCAGAGCTTTCAGGGAGCCCTCCTGAGGGCGTCTTGGGGCACACTTGCACCCGTTGTCTTGAACAGTGCATTTCAAGCACGTGTAACAGACCCACCCGGGAGACACTGCTTATCCTGGAATTCAGGTCACACGATTTAACTGCCACTCACACCTCACTGGCAGAGCAGCACCCTGCCTCTACTTCTCCCGTGTGAGCTTTTACAAATGCTGGTCCTGGCCCCCTTACTCTGGTTTCGCAGCCACTGATCCGTTTGGAAAACACCCAGGAGTGGAGCTGCTGTGATGTTGGATGTGTGTCTGCTTTGTAAAATCTTTTCCAAAGTGTCTGCACCCACTGACACCCCTCCCAGCAGAGTGAGCCGTCTGAGGCTATAATCCTCACCAACGCTTGGGATCAGGGACATTTAGCTGCCCCTGGCAGGGGGTGGAGTGGAAGGAACCTCACTGTAATTCAAGTCTGCCCTTCCCAGAGGACTGCTGGGGCTGTGTTGGTCTATTGCCTGGGTTTCCTTCCTGGGCTGTGTCTGTTCACGCACGCGGCCCGTTTCCCTGTTAGGTCATCAGCCTTTCTCTCACCTATCACAGGAGGGGATTCCCAGAGCGGGGAGAGGGGTCTGCCTTGGCTGAAGGAGGGGAACCAGATAGAACAAGGAATGAGTTTGTGAAGGGGCTTGATAGGACAAAGGGGCCGGTGGGAATGCTCTATGGCCTGGGAGGTGGGGACAGGGAGAGGGATACCTGGGGAGTGCTGAGGCCATTCTGAGGTTGGATACCTCAGTCCACATGGGGACAACATCATTACATGATGACCAGTAGAAAAGGAGAGCCATGGGATCGTCCAGGCCAGGGCCTGCAGAGGTGGGAGATCAGGCTGAGGGGAGGGGGGGAAGGTGCCATGGGATGTGGCTGTTAGATCCCCTCCCTCATCAAGCTCTCGCCTTCCTCCTCAGTCTGTGGCATGTCCCACGAGCAGGACCCCACCCTCAGGGATGCAGAGGCCACAGCTCGGAGGTGGCCGTGGATGGTCAGTGTGCAGGCCAATGGCATACATATCTGCGCAGGCACTCTCATTTCCTCCCAGTGGGTGGTGACTGTGGCCCACTGCGTGCTCCAGTGAGTCGGGGCCTGGGTGGGCGGGTGGAAAGGCATTTGGAGTCACATGGGGCCCAGTCTTCCCACCAGCTGGCCCATCAGTGGCAACTGTGCCCTTGGCAGAACCCCACAGTCCTAGGCCAGCTTTGCCCCAGCTCCAAGCAGGTGGGTGTTGAGTTCTACAATCTTTCCTGGGAGCAGGAAGCTTGCTCCCCTCCCCTGGGCCCTCAGTCCTGTGACTCCAGGGCTGATTGCACAAGGGGGGATGCAGGGGGAGCTGTCACTTCTAGGGCCCAGCACAGGTGCAGGACTGAGTCCAGAGTTTGAAACCAGAGAAAGCTGGGACCACATCCCACCTCCACCACTTCTTGCTGTGTAGCCTTGAGCTGGCCACTGGGTTTCTCTGAGCCTCTGTTTCCCCCTCTGTAAAAGTGAAGGGTTGTTTTGACATGACCACGCTGTGTGTGCAGGGTCCCAATGATCACCTCCGCCGTGAGGAGTAGGCTCAGGGGGCTTGAAGCAGGTAGGTGGAGGCTGGGTGGGGTGCCTGGCGCTGACGGCAGACTTCCCTGGTGCTTCCTTTAGGAGTGACGTTACTTATTCTGTGCGGGTGGGGAGCCCCTGGATTGACCAGCTGGCTCAGACTACCATCGACCTCCCGGTGCACCAGGTCATTGTGAACAGCCGGTTCCGGGCCCATCGCTTATGGTCCTGGGTGGGCCGGGCCAACAACATTGCCCTCCTCCGGCTTAAGGGGGAGTTCAAGTACAGCAAGTACGTCTGGCCCATCTGCCTGCCTGGCATAGACTACGTGGTGAAGGACGGCGCCCTCTGCACTGTGATGGGCTGGGGGCTCCCTCAGGTTAACGGTGAGTTGGAGCCTCCCCAGACCAGGCTGGGTGGTGGGGGCGAGGACCTGGGCACAGGCTGGGGTCTGCCATGGACACATCGCCCCCAGGAGCTCCGTGCCCCGACCTCCTTCCCCTCGAGGGTTTCAGCAGTGAGCACGCCGTGGCCGTTGAGGCCGTAAGGGACTGGGATTGCCCATGAACACTCAGGCCAGGCCGAGGCAGGTAAACAGGACCTCCCGAGGCGGAAGGGGCACAGGGTAAGCTCTCACTGTCTGCACAATTCCCGGGTGTCCATGACTTGAAGCAGAGCAACCGAAGCGAGAGGAACAGGGCTCTGTGTTTGTAAAAAGCTCCCCAGGGGACCCCAAAGGATCGGCCAAAGGCAGCCTGCACCCAGAGATTGGGAGTCACTCCGGTCCCCCCAGTGGTCCTCAGTCCCATGTCATCCCAATTCAGGAACAAGGCCCAAAGAGCAGGAGTGTTGTCCCAGGCCATCCAAGGGTCCATTTCCTTATGAGCCCCAGGAGTATCCACTCCCTTCAGGGACCCCTATCCTTTCCCACTAGAGAGGTGCTAATCCAAGTAGCCTCACAGAGCCAACTTGCCTAAAACCAGCCCACAGGGGCTCCATCCCGGGGCGGGGGGTGGCTTTTGTGTCTTCCTTTCCACGGCCTGTCTGGGGAATGGCTGGGAATGATTGGAAGTCTCCTGTCCCCCAGGAGCACAAGCTAGGGACAGAGACAGGAGGAGGGGAGGGGAGTAAGAAGTGCTTGGGACCTATGGAGGGATGTTTGGTGAGCTCAGGGTGGGGAGGAGGCCTTCGAGGAGGGCCTTTGGGATAGAAGGAAGGGCAAAAACTGAGGTGCTGGGGTAAGAATGGACTCAGGTCCAGCAAGGCCAGACGGTGGGCAACCTGCTCCAGGGTCTCTCTCGAGGGGGCTCGGGAAGGGTCGGCCAAATGGCAGGTGGGCTGAACCTGGAGAGACCTCCAGGGCTGCTGGGTGGCAAGTAGAAGAGACTGGAGGAGTGGCGAGGAGTGAAGGGCGGCTGGCAACAAGGCCGGCAGCAGTGGGCAGCAGGGAAACAGGCAAGCCTGAATGGCCCCCTCACCCCCCACCCCGTCCCACAGGCACACTGCCCCAGTCCCAGACCATTCAGGAGAAAGAAGTCACCATCCTGAACAGCAAGGAATGTGACAGCTTCTACCACAGATTCTCCAAAATCCCCTCCGTGATTCGGATCATCAATTCCCAGATGATCTGCGCGGAAGACAGGGACAGGGAACAGTTCTGCTATGTGAGCACCTATCCCCCTTGTCATTGACCTCGGGACACCTGGCCAGGATGGGGGCAAGGGCACGGGGGAGGGGGCGAGGAGGAAAGAGTGGGGAGGGGCTGAGCCTGGGTGATGGAGCAGGATGGGGAGGGGAGATGGAGGTCGGTAGGTAGGAGAGTGGGGGTGGGGACAGTGGGAAGATGGAGGGCAGGTTAAAGGGGGGGATGGAGGACTGGTACCAGAGAGAAAGGAGATGTAGCCCCTGTGGAAGGCCTCCTGGGTACCTCTCAGCCATGTGACACTCGGGGGTTGTGGGGAAGATCTGGTGTGAGGTCACCCTGCTTGTCCCTGAGCTGGGTCACACCTCTCTGACCTTTTTGCCCTCCCACCCCCTCCCACAGGAGATAAGTGGGGAGCCCCTGGCCTGTCCTATGGGGAAAACCTGGTTCTTGGTGGGAATGGTGAGCTGGGGCGCCGGCTGTGGTAAGAGCGAGGCCCCGCCCATCTACCTGAACATCCCCTCCTACCAATACTGGATCTGGGAACGTGTCAATGGGCAGACTCTGCCAGCCCCATCCAGGGCCCTGCTCCTGGCATTGCCACTGCCCCTCAGCATCCTTGCTGCCCTCTGACTCTCTCAGGCTGTCCTTGGAGGTGCCCTGCTTCCCCAGGACCCCTTATCCTCTGTGTCCAGAACACCCAGGTGCCGCTCTCCCATCCCCACAAGGCAGGGCAGAGATTAGGTGCTCAATTAAACAGTTCTCTTCCTCATGCCTCCTCCTTCCTGGGCCTGCTCGGGTGGGAGATGACTGAACCAGATGGGGTGGGAGGGGGACTCCGGGCACTGAACAGAGCAGAGGCCCAGGATCGGCCTCCATCCAGAGGCTGGGGTGGCCCCTGCAGAAGGTGGAGGGGTTGTGTGTGTGCAGGGATGATACTGGGTCAGATGATGGAGGACCTGGAATGTACTGCCCAGGCTGAGCTGGCGCTGCCAGGACACAGCGTGAGGCTTGGGGAGGGGCAGCTGTCTGGACAGAGAGTCGAGTATGTTCCTTCTGTGATATTTTAGTGGGAGTCAGGCTCTCCTTGACTTTAACCCGACTCCTGGCCATGGCTAGAACATAGCCTGTCGTCACCCTGAAGCATCGTAGTGAACTTTGACCTCCCAGAGTCACCTCCTGCCTGGAGACTGGGGCAGGTGCCCACTTGGGCTTAGAAATTATCCCCATATCAGCAGCCAGGCCTTTCCATAAAGCGTTAGTGGAGGCCCAGGTCAGAGGTCAGGGAGCCCAGGCTGGGACTCCGCCAGGCTTCACCAGCTGCTCCTCTGTTTGACCTCAGGTGGCCCCTGCCCTCTGGGCTCCTGCTGCCCATCCACATTGGAGGGCTGTGGTCTGCATGGGTAGAATGACCTTTGCCACAACCCTCTTCCCCCTCGCTGCCCCAGGTCAGGATCCAGGTTTGACTCTGTGTGCCCAGCACAGGGCTCACCCAGTTGAAAGTCAAGGGGTAGAGTGGAGGGGAGTGGAGAGCTGGCAGCTTCCCCCCGGACCCTGGTGCCCTCTCTCAGCTGGGCCCAGCTGGCTGAAGCTACCCCTTTGCCTCTTGGTCACCGTCTCTCCCTCCAGCTCATCCTAATTCAGGTTTGGAGAAAATCCAGGGGAGGGACCTTCAGCCTGGCCTTTGCTGCCTGCCACCGGTCACTCCAGATCACTCGGGTATGAGAAGGCACTTGGATTTATTTACAAATCTCTGTAGGCTGCAGGGTGGCGCGAGCTTCTCCAGCAGCTCCCCTGGCTCCAAAACCTCTGGTATCTCATTAGTCTCCAGGCCCAGGTCTGAATGCCTCGGCTGATGTCGTTGCCACCTGGAAGCCCCCTGGCATCTCTCACCCCAAGGGATTCAGTCCCCCTGGCCTTTGGGCCTTCTAGTTAGCAGTGCCTCTTTTAAGCACTGTTGCTGGGAATGGTAAAAGAAGAGGCTGCCTCAACACTTAACTGCTCCCTCTGGTGATCCCCTAGGGCCCTGACACCTCCCACCACAGCTGAGCAGAGAAAGGGTCACAGAACAGCCCAAGCCCCCCCCCTGACTTCTCAAATATTCCCTGGATTCCTAAGATGGGGCCCAGGTGCCAACTTTCTTCCTTTCTCCCCCTGGTCCGCTGGCCTTAGCCTTCTGCACTCGTGACCCCCCCCTGCAGCCCCAGCCCTGAGCCCTGGGCCCTCCTGTTGGCCTCCCAGCAGCCTCAGCCCCATCACAATATGTAAACTAAGTGTATCCCATCGCCAGGAGCTTGGTCTGCTGGGCTGGGGGCTTCTCCCGCTTCTGGCCACCTCTGCTCATCCCGCTGGACCGGAAGCCCCACTAGGCTTGGGGCAGACCCCTGGCCCCCAGGACTGCTATCCAGCCGAGTCTGAGAACCTCCTGCTGCCGCAGCTTCCGGCCGACCATCCAGTGCACATGCCTTTCAGGAAGTGAAGAAACATCCTGTCACCCCTTTAGAGCCACTGCCGTTTCTGGCCAAAGGGGTGGGACAGAGGCATGTCTGGGCAGAGGCGGGGTGGGGTGTGGGGTGTGGGGGTGAGGCTGCTCTGGATCTGCAGAGGGACAGTGGCCCTAAACCAACTTTGCTGAGTGGCCACGTGGATGGGGTAGAAGGAGCGGAATCCAGGCTGGGAGGCAGGACTCCTGCAGTCTTGTCCCTGCCCCTGACTGGCCCTAAGGACATGTCCATGGACCTCAGCAACCCCCTCTGAATGGAGAGAGGATGTTCTTCAACCCTTGTGGTCCATGGATGAGCTTGGAGTCCAAGGTGCCTGGGCCCTGGCCAGCACTTGAGCCCCAGGGCCCGCCACCTCCAGGAAGCTCTCCTCATTTCTCCCCTTTCTTCTTGGCTTCGTTCTTCTCATCTTCTTCTACCTTGATGGCCACCGTGTCCACAGTGTCCTTTTTCTTCTTCTTCTTGTCATCTGCGGGGTAAAGAGGCGCCCGACGGGTGAGACAGGCCCTAAGGTTCCTACGCAGCCTCCACATCCAGCCCTTCACTCCCTCCTTCCTTCCGTGCCTCTCCCACCTGCGCAATACCTCTTTGCTTTACCTGCCTCGCTCTGCCCAATTTCTGTGCTCTGGTGTCTAGGGACAGAGTTGGGCCCCCTCCCTGAACCTGCTGGGTGGCAGGTCTGAGGGACTGGCTGGCTTGGCAGGGACAGGTGGTGGCGGGGCCCGGGCCTGCTCACCTCCGGGGACCTCTGTGAGCTCGTTGAGGGGTGGCACGGTCTCCAGCTTGTCGGTGTACATCTTGGCTGCCTTTCGCTGCAGGTACCGGGCTTCGATCTCCTTCCTGGTCCGTGGCACGCGGCAGTTGAAAACGCAGCACAGAGTGATGACTGAGGGAGGAGAGAGCGGGCTTGGCCGGGGTGCAGCTGACACCCAGGGGGGCGCCCAAACGCGGGGTGCCTCCATCTACCTAGGCGTGTCTCACCTAAGAGGCTCTGCCGGGAGGCTCCGCATCTCGAAAAAGCCCTTGTAGCCCTGGCCGGTGTGGCTCAGTGGTTAGAGCGTTGGCCTGAGGACCGAAAGGTCATGGGTTTGATTTCTGGTCAAGGGCATGTACCTGGGTTTCAGGCTTGATCCCCTGCGCCAGCTGGGGGGTGAGCGGGAGGCAACCAATTGATGCCTCTCTCTCACATCGATGTTTCTCCCTCTTCCCCCTCCCCTCCCTTCCACTCTCTCTGAAAAATCAATGGAAAAAATATCCTCAGGTGAAGATTAACCAAAAAAAAAAAGAAAGACACCTCCCCCGCCCCCCCATAGGCCCTGGGATTTTAAAGGTGCCTCCTGAGCGGGACTGGCTTTGTGCATCACACAGGGCCCTGCCCTTAGAAGGACCTGTGTGTGGGTCAATGCCCTGCTCTCACTGTCTTGAAATTCTTAATTTTTGAACAAGGGGTCTCATAGTTTCATTTGGCACCGGCCCTGCCATGGGTCCTGGGTCTGAGGTTCCTTCTGACTAGATTGCGAGTCCCTGGAGGGCAGGCGGCTGCACCCTGACTCAAGCCACGGCTTCCTGGGGTGCCCTGGGCCCCTGACCTGGGTCTCTGGGCTCCGCGTGCACCCTAGTTCTTCCTCCCAGGCTCCTAAGAGCAGGGCCACAGCGGCCTCGGACACCGGAGGACGTGGCTACACATCCTCAACCTCCCTGAGGACCGGCCGGCCGGGCTCCTCCTGCTGTGACAGCCAAGAGGGCACAGCCCCTGCCCTGGGGCGTTCACCTCAGACAGAGTCATTCCAGGAGTGGCTTTCCTGCCGCGGGCGGCTGCGCCCACGCACGCTGGGCCAGGGCATGGAGCTGGCCTTTCTGGTGATGGGCATGGCAGGGCAGGGCTGCCAGGACCTGGCTGCACTGAGTTTATTTTTCTGAGGCCCCCACAGTCTGACCACCTTGGCCCCAGCCTCAGGGGAGGGGACAGAGCTGCTTCCTATTATAAATCAGACATGACTTCTTGGCAGACTCCTGGAGGCCAGGCAGGATAAGCCAAGCGTATTTTGGGGAAGGTGGATCAAAGCTACGCGGCCTGGGCCGGAGCACCCTCTGGAGTCATCCCGTGCAACTTCGGCCAAATATTATGTCCCCATTGAGTCTCACCCAGATGCACAGAATGAAAGAAAAAACAAAAGAGAATGAATGAATGGATAGGCTCAAAGCTGCTGCTGCTGAGGACAAGGCTGGACTCCTGAACGAATGGGGGGAGGGGCGCTAGCATCCAGGAACACCCTGGGGAGGGGGCTGCATGGGGGTCCCCACAGTAGGTCTGCGTGGACTCTGCTGTCTGAGTAGACAGTTGTGTGTGCCTGATGCCCAAGGTTGGTCCCCAGCCCAACCCGCCTGGCTCGGGCCACCTCTTCCAGCCACCACCAGGCACCTCACGGGACCATGCACACTCAGGCTGTCCTCAGGGACTGCTACAGGCCGGGAGGCCGGGCTTCAAGGGCAGCTTCAAGGGCAGCTATTGGAGGCCAGAGCAGGGCTCAGACACTGCCCATCTCCCCAGGCCTGGCCTGGTTGCTTCTCTTCAAAGAAGGCGAGAAACAAAGTACCTTGGATTGAGGTCCAAGGCCCAGGCCCCAGAAGACCCCAGAGGCACCCAATCCAATCCCAGCCCCTCTTCACAAGGGTCTGGGGATGGCGCTGCAGTGACAGCTGTGCCTCCTAGGCCCACACCGACTGGGGAGCAGGAAAGCTGTTTCCTCCTCAGGAGGCGGGCGTCCCTGCTCCCTCGAGCCCCGTGCGGAGGTAACAGTGCTGCTCTGCTGCTTGGGGCCTGTGGAACCGTCCCTTACCCTTTTCTAGGAAATGGGTGAGAATAGGAGCCAGCCTGTGGTGGATGTCCACGTGCCTCTCTGGGTCTGGCACTGCAACTTTCTTGTGTGGCCCCAGGCACCTCTAGCACCCTAGACTGCTCCTGTGGCCCCCACAGGGCACATGCCTCGTCCACCCTGCCTGTGGGTGCAGGGCTTGTTCCCCTCATGGACATCTGGGCCGAGGCTGAAGCCATACGGGCCCGTCTGTGGGGCCTCCACCGAGAAGCATGACTGTTCTCAGCCTTGGCTAGGAACACTATGCAGCCTCTTGCTCAGATCCTGGCCCCACCCGGGCCGAGGAGACATGTGGGGGGATGGGTGGATATTTTCCTGCAGGGAGGGCACTTCTGTGCCAGGAGAAGCACATGCAAATCACATGTCCTGGTCTCCCCCGGAGCGCTACATCCCGATGGGACTTCTGCTGGCCCTGCCCTCAGGGGACCTCGTCACATCTCCCGTTAGAACCTAAATGCCACTTTAGCTCCAACCCCGGGTGCACTCAGGGTTATCTGAGACCCATTTCCTCCCACCTCTGCTCATACCATCCCCTCCACCTAGAAACCCCTCCCCACTGCCCCACGGCAGCTCAGAGGACTCCTCTCTGAAGCCTTTTTAGGAGGCTGCTCCCCACTCCCTCTGGCCTGTAGGAACCTCCCTCAGACTTTGCCATGGTGGCTTCCTCCTCCCAGCTGGCACTTATCTGCCCCCTCCCCCCAACTCCAGACCCCCACCCGAGAAGCACAACTGGAAGGAGCATGCCCAGCCCAGTTCTGTTTCAACTTTGCATCAAGCAACCCCCAGTCCCAGGAGAGAAAGGGATCTCCTGCTTTTCATTGAGGTGGGTGTGAGGCATTCGGGGCAATGGTATTTGACAAGGCAGGGTTTGCAGCCTGGGAGACACATCTGCTGGGCATCTGGGGAGACTCTGGGCTGAGCTGCGGCCAGGGTGGCCCTGCTGGGGCCCCAGGGTGTGGGCCCTTTAAGCTGGCCAAACTGCAGGAGAAGCACCAGGAGGCCCGGTAGGGAAAAATGACACGTCCTTGTGCTGGTTCCTGGAGTCCCCTGTAATTACCGTAATTGCCATGTGGCTGTGTCCCTGGTTGGGCAGAATACTTCAGGTCACCACCGGCCTGTCAGCCCTCCACAGGGACTTTGTGTGGACCAGGAGGTGCCAGAAACCACAGGAGGCCTCCTGCGGGCGCCTGGCCTGCTTGCATTGCCCGGAATTGCTGCTCTGAGCCCCTGGGGTGGTGCTAGGGGTGGGGTGCTGAGCTCCCACGGCCCCCTTTCGGGGAGGGCAGGGAGCTGCTACTCACTGATGGACAACACGAAGAGCGAGAAGATGCCCACCACGTGCCACAGGCGCATGTCCCAGAACACCACGGTCTCCTTGGTCAGTGGGGGCGGCTTGGGCTTGGGCGGGGCCGTGCTGGGCTGTGGATGGGGAGAGAGGGGAGTGAGCCAGGCAGAGGCCAGAGGTGGCACTGGGCTGAGAGAGGCCCAGGTCTCAGCAACGACTTAGCCCAAGCATTTCAGAGTGTCCTAGAATCAATTGTCTTAGACATTTACAACCATTGCCCTAGCCCAGCGATTTTCAACCCTTTTCACCTCATGGCACACATAAACTAGTTACTAAAATTCCACGGCACACGAAAAAATATGTTTTTTGCCGGTCTGACAAAAAAAAAAGAAGGGTGTAATTTTGATTCAGTCACTCCGGACAGCTATTGTTGCGTTGGCTGTTGTCATTTTTTTATTTGACAATCTCAGGGAAAAGAGGTCAGTGCCCCTGACTAAATAGTCAGGTACTGCATGTTTTAAAAATCCTTGTGGCACACTAGTTGAAAATCGCTGCCCTAGACCTTGGGAAGTTCCCCATTTAGACAAAGAGAAGTGAGCAGAGCTCCTGAAGCATGGAGTGCAAGGGTGGTTGGTGCTTGGGGAAACCAAGGCCCAAAGGAGCAAAATGGGATTAACCTGTTTCTCTCCGGTTCAAGGCCCCTTCAGGCAGCCTGTGGGGCTCTCTTCCTGCTTCAATCCCGGGCCCCCACACGCAGATGGGGACTCAGGACCAAGGCCAGAGACAAGGTGAGGTTGGTACAACCTATGGACTTTGCTCTTAGGTAGCCCCAGTGTGGGGTGGGGTGTGGAGTCCATGACTCTGCCGCCTGGCCAGGACCCCCATCAAGCGGCCTCAACAGTCATCTACCCTACCAGAGTCACTTCCCCTGACCAGAAGACTAGGACAGAGACCTCACAGGACAGGACCAGATAAATAATTTGTCCACAATACGGCAGCGACACCTGGAGGCTAAAATATGTAAGCACCGCGGGAGCAAGTCAGAGCAGAGCAGAGCCAGCCACCTCCCACCTTCCCAGGGGGACATGCTGCCCTGGGGGCTTGAAGGGGACATAGCCTTTTTCTGGGGGTCTAGGAGACGTGGCCCTACATCGGAGGACTGAGGGGACACAGTGTTGCCCTGAAGGACTGAGGGGACATGGCCCTGCCTTGGGGTCTGAGTGGACATGATCCTACCCTGGGGGACTGAGGAGACATGACCCTTCCCTGGAGGTCTAGGGGACACAAATCTGCCTTGGGGATTCTAAGTGTACATGGCCTTGCTCTGGGGCCTGAGTGGACCCAGCCCTGCTCTGCGAGGGTCTGAGCAAGACCTGTCCTTGATCTGTGGGGCTGACAGGGATATGATCTCTGTCACCAAGTTTGGCTAAGGGATGTGGGTGGGAGTTGGTGCTTAGGAGAGAGGACCCTGGGACCTCTGTGCACCATGTTGTCCTCTTATTAACCAAACAAGGACACACCTGTGGAGTCTCTCTGGTTCTCTGGGAAGAAAAGGCAGCCCACAGGTCACCATCCATCCAGGCCTTCCCGGGCCATAAGCATGGTCTGGGCTCCTCCCACAGCTAGGTACTTCCTCATCTAATGAACACCCTTCAGCATGTATTGGGGACACTTGGAGCTGATCAACAGCCTGTCCCTGATAACCCAGAGGATCTTTGTGCCAGGATTGGTATATGATTCCTTGGCTCTACTCTCTTAACCAGGGTGAACTGGGGTGGGTACCACATGCATGTGAGGTCAGGCACATGTGTGGGTTCAGGGTACATGTGGGGGGTGGGGCACACATGGGGTTGGGCACACATTTGCGGGTACAGGGCACACGTGGTTGGATTACATATGGGTGTGGTAGCACACGTCCATAGCATCAGGGCTAGGAGCTGGGCAGTGCTGGGGTCTTGGGTAGAGGGTAACAGGTAGCAGCCTGGTGCCTCCTCATGGTGGGCACTGCTGGAGGTCTGAACTCTGAAGCTTGGAGGCCTGGGCCTCCATCAGATCTTCACAGCCTGTAGGGGTGAAGCCTGTAGGGCTGGGGTGGGTGGTGCCATGGGCCCAGCCCTGCCTATCTTTCTGGTACTTCCTGGGCTCAGCCAGGCCCTTGGCGCAGGCTGTAGGCAGATGGCAGGTAGATGGACTCTAAATGCAATTTCCCTTAATGAGCTGGGAGGAGACATGCTCCAGGGGGGATGGGGAAGAGTCCTTAGCTCAGAACTGACTCGCCCTCCCCCCACCCTCAGCCTCTCCCGTGGCCAGGCCAGCTCAGTTTCTGCACCTGAGGCCTCAGGGCAGCCAGTGAGGGGCTAAATACACTCCCTGCGCCTCAAGCCAGCCTGGCTCCCCTTACAGGGACACTGGAGCTGACATCAAACTCCGGCCCAGCTCTGTGATCACACCCCCTGGTCAGCAACAGGAGCAGGCTAGCATTGGACTGCAGGGCTCTGTCCCCACCACGTCTCTAGACCCTTCAGTTCAGGGCTGTGTCCCCTCAGACCCCCAGGATAAGGTTCTCTCCTCCCTCTCCCATCCTGTCCCCTGGCACCTGCCACTTCAGGGCTCTCCTGGGTGCCTCCCTGCCTTCTCTACACTCTGCTTGCATAGCCTCCATTCCACACTTCCCCTTGGCACTGCCTCTTGACCTCATGCTCCAGAATTCTGGGTCTGGTCTGCCTGGTTGGCACCCCTTCCTGGCTCAGCAGCAATGGGGTACAGAGGGGCCCGGGAGGCTGCAGATGGCCCCCACCCTGCCCTTCCTGGCCCCAGCCAGGCTCCTGGCCAACCAGCCAGCCATCTTCCTCACCCCTTCCTGGGTACTCTCAGCAGCCCCTCCCAGTTCTTGCAACTACTTGCGTGCCCTTTTCTAATTTATTCTCTTCTGTCCAATCCAGGATTCATCATGATTCTCTCCGCTAGAAACCTCTGCTAGCTCCCCGTTTTCACCGGGACCAAGACAGACCCTAGGGCCCTGCAGCCGCCCTGCCCGCCCCGCCCCTCCCCTCCAGGCCGAGTGCGCAGCATGCAGTCCAGCTCCACGCCGGCTCCCCTATCCAGGGTCTCCTGGCCCTCCTGTGCCCAACCTCCGGCTCCCAATGCCCTCACCTCCTCCCCAAGGCCGCGTGCCCCCGTTGGACAGGGGACCTGGAGCTGACCCTAAGATCAGGGACCGGATCGCCCCTATCAGACTAGAGGTCATGGGAACCCAGGACTGTGCACCCCGTCTCCCCAAGGCCCCCATCAGATGGAAGACTGGAGGAGAGGTGCTGAGTGACCCCAGCGGACTGGACACCGCTGAACCCCCCCCAATCAGGCGGGGAATCCTTAGGATCAGGTCAAGTGAGTCTCCTCCATCCGACCAGTGTCCCTGACTCCAGGGGCCGTGCCCCCCATCAGACCAGGGGCCCCGAGATTGGGGCTGTCCCCCCCCCCCAAGAAGCCCGCCTCCCCGGGGCAAGAGGAAAGGACAAGGCAGCTGCAGGTCAGAAAGAGCCCCCCCGGACGGTGCCGGCCGCCCCAGCCGCGCGCCCCAGGCCTCACCTCCACCAGCTGCCCCGCGACCCCCGCGAGGCAGACC